GAGGGTCTGGGCAAAATTTCATGTCAGATGTCTGGGCAGAATTTAATGTGGGAAGGTCTGGGCAAAATTTAATGTGGGAGGGCCTGGGCAAAATTCAGTGTGGGAGGATCTGGGCACAATTTAATGGGGGAGAATCTGGGCAAAATTCAGTTGGGATGGTCTAGGCAGAATTTGATGTGGGATGGTTTGGGCAAAATTTAATGTGGGAGGGTCTGGGCAAAATTTCATGTCAGATGGTCTGGGCAGAATTTAATGTGGGAGGGTCTGGGCAGAATTCAGTGTGAGATGGTCTGGGCACAATTTAATGTGGGAGGGCCTGGGCACAGTTTGATGTGGGAGGGTCTGGGCAAAATTTAATGTGGAAAGGTCTGGGCACAATTTGATGTGGGAGGGTCTGGGCAGCTTTCAGTGTGGGAGGGTCTGGGCAAAATATAATGTGGGAGGGTCTGGGCACAGTTTAATGTGAGAGGGTCTGGGCTGTTTGCTGATCCAAAAACACCACGAGGAAGAGCCCAGTGAACTCCAGCCACAGGGAGAGCTGCACAATTCCCCAGAGCTGCCCATCTGCTGCTCCCCAGCACAGCCCTGTCCCAGCTGTGCCTCAGTCACACAGTTTTCCCTATTTCAGTAACAAATGCAAGGGCAAGCACAGTGTGAGGCACGAGGTGTCCTGGACAGTGTCTCTGGAGCACCTCAGATCCCACCAGGAGCTCCAAGTGGAGCTGTGTAAACAGTTAACTGGTCCCAGGGGGCCTGGGCTGGCACTGCTGCAGCTTCTCCTTTAGGATAAATAGATGCTGCTATAATTAGAGTCCTGTCCACCAAGAGCAACACTCCAACATGATCCATCCCTGCTTCCTCTCCAAAACTCACCGGGGCTGCCAGCCCAGAACAGCCCAAAATAGGTTATTAGACATGACCTGCTAAACCAGGTCACATCTGCTCTGGTGGTTCCTCTCACAGCCACAGATCCTCCCTGTGACAGCAAGAGCTCAGCTGTCCCAGCACATCCCACCTCTGCAGAGTCACTGCTCAACCACCCTCCCCACCCCACTCAATTCCTCTCCCTCTCTTCAGTTTTGTAATTAAATCTCATTTTCACAGTTGAAACTGTACTCATTTTGGCCTGTTGGATTTTTTTTCTGTCCTAAACAGGCTTATCTTGGCTTCAACTTACGTATGGAAGGGTCTGACATAACCACCATCACGTATGTGTTGGATGTAAAGATGTCAATGAAAGCAGCAAAGTTAGAGTTCCTGACCTCCATGCTCTGGAAAGAGGCTGCCAGTTTACTGAAAAAGTAGAAATAAATGAAAAAAAAAGTAAATTAATTATTCCCGTACCACTGCTCAAGCAGCTTTTGTGCCCACATGGCCAAAATCCCTTATTTGAGCTGTTGGGAACAAAGCAGAGTTTGAATTCCCACTTGGCAGGGAAAACCAGGTGTGACCACAGCAGGGTTGGTTTTTAAGGACAAAACTCTTTGGCTCTGGGCTAAATGAGAACAGTATAAAGTGATTTGTGCATTGAACAGTGAAGGAAACTCCAGACACACAACCCCCTGACTGAGCCTGGACACTCTGGAGGACCCAGCAGAAATAAGGATAAAACTGGAACATCTGGAGACATCTGAAACACCTGTAAACCATGGAGCCACTTCTCCATCCACCCAGGCTCCACACACTTCCAGGTATAACCAGACTGCAGAGCCTGCAGGCTGTTCAGAGCCAAGCTGCCCCAAAGCTTTCCACTTTTCCATTCAAAATACATGGATAAATAGTGCCTGGAAGCCTCTTCCTCCCCAGCCAGCCCAGGACTGGAGCAGAGCTTTCCACCTGACATTCCAAGCACTGTCATTGATTTATCCTGGAACTTTCCTCCTTTGCCCAGGAGAAAACAGCTGTTTCAGAACAAACAAACCTCTTCAACCATCAGCAAAGGAGAAAGTTATAAAAGCAACAACTTAAGCGAGCTGTGCTTACGCCCAGTACAATCCCACAGAACTGGGATTCACTGGAGAGCCCCACAAAGCCAAAATCCCTGCTGAGGTTTCTCCCCACCTCCTGATCACATCAGCTCACCTGCAGCTCAGCTTGAATTGTTTGATGATGTTGCTGATTTTCTCAAACCTGTGGACGTCCCTCTGCTCTTTGCACTGATAGTGAGAAATGACCTGGAGAGGGGGCAGAGTCAGTCAGTGAGTCCAGCACAGGTTCCTCACTGTCAACAGCAATTCTGGGAATGGGTGGTGACCAGGATTCCCTTTGCCTTTGGCTGATAGAACCTTGGGAACTATTTGCAAGAACTCTCGTGGTGCTTTCCCGGAGGAACAGGAGTCAGTAACACAGTCACCAGGGAGCCTTTCACACACACAAAGCCTGGAAATATGCAGTTTCCACCTGAGGTCTGGATGCTGCAACTTAGCAGCAATTTAGATCTTGATTCAAAGTAAAAGAATGTGCAAGGAGAGGAAAAAAAATGGAACCTCAGGAATGGGAAAGGACACCTGCCAAGTGCTGGGATGGCTCTTCCCTTCTCAGTCTAAGGTGCTGTGGATTCTCAAGGGCCGAACCTGAGCACAGGCAGGATGCACAAACAGAGCTCCTGGAGCCAGACCAAGCTGTTCCTCCTGGAGAAAAGCAGCACAAAGGCAGCTGGATTCCTCAGGAGTTCTCTATCCGTCAGACCAGCACTGAGCTGCCTCATCCAGAGCACTTCCCTCCTCTTCCTCCCACGCAAATCCAGCAGCAGTTGCAGGATTGGATTCAAACATTCAGGGATCTAAAGCCTTTTAGGAATCCTTGCAGTGGGATCTCTCTCCAAACCTTTCTCCCCAACCCCTTCCCTCCTCAGCCACATGAAGAACAGGCCAAGAACTGCATTTACTGCACGAGGGAAGGGCACAAAGAGCTGCATCATCTCCATTCCCACAGCAAAGCAAAGAGGAATATTTAAAAAACCCGAAGCCACAAGATTCTTCAGAATCACAAAATCAACTGTTACTGGCAGTGCCCTTGCACAAGGATGTGAAACTCTGGAGTCACATTTGTTACTTGTGGGAATTAATGGTTTTTTTAAGTTTGGGGGTTTTTCCTCTTTTTTTCCCTTAAGCACCTTAAAATAATCACTCTTTAAACCTGCCCAATTATTCACACAAGGACAGGTTTAGCCAGATTCAAGGGTTGCATTCCCAGTGTGAAGTTCCTTCCTAAACATCCCAGATGAGGTTTTTTTTTTTTAAACTATGATTTGAACACAATTTCAGAATCAGGTTTCCAGAGTAAGATTCCACAGTAAGATTTTCAGAGTTAAGATTTCACTTCAGGAGAAAAAAGTCCTGGGGGCTTTTTAATGTATTCCATAAATACATGGAATATATTATTATACATGAATATATATTATTATTCATATATTTCATAAATACATGAAAAAAGGGAGATGAGTCTTATAAGGGTCACCATCACACCAAAAATAAGAAGTTTTGTAGCAAAGATTATTCATTTTCAGTTAAAAATGTTCTTCACTGTTACACACCCCCAAGGTGGAACTATTTATTATCTAGAAGAGGTCAAAAAGCAGAACTTGCCAGACATGGCAGGTGTTTGCTTCTGATAGTTTAAGAAGGGGGAAGAGTCATGGCTCCTTTCCCACATTCCCTCCATCATTTCCAAATCCCCATCAAGGAAAGCACTCAAAAAACTTCAAACTCTTTCCTTCAGCTCAGCAAGAGTTTTGGGGTAAAGACTGAGGAGCCAAATCCATAATCCAAGAGTGTGGATGGACAAGCAGCAGTGGTGGTTTTAAGCAGCACCTTTCACCTGGCAGAGACAGGGATTGGGAGCACAATAACCTGGAAAACCATTGCAACCCAATGGTTCATGATCCTTTATCCATATTCTGGGTTTGCAGAGCATCAAACCCCAAAAGAAATCAAGTCCAGTTTAAATGTCACAGCAGGAGGAAATGAAAAGGTTTCTTTTTCAAGCTAAATGAGGTTCCTGCCCTGTGCAGAAAGGAATTCTCAAAGAAGTCCCACACTTTCACAGCCTAGAAGAGGGAAACACCAACAAACCCTCAGCTCAGCTGCTGGAAGGGGGAATTTTGGGAAGGTCCCATGAGCCACAGAATCATATCAGCTACTTCCTGTATCCCAAGGGCTGGATCAAAGCATCCTGTGTGGGGCTGGCACCTCCCAACAGCACTTCCATGGAATCCTAAATGGTTTGGGTGGGAAGGGACCTTAAAGGCCATCTCATTCCACTCCCTGCCATGGGCAGGGACACCTTCCAGTATCCCAGGTTGCTCCAACCTGGCCTTGGACACTTCCAGGGATGGGGCAGCCACAGCTTCTCTGGGCAACCTGTGCCAGGGCCTCCCCACCCTCACAGCCAACAATTCCTTCCCAATATCCCATCTAACCCTGTCCCTGGCAGTGGGAAGCCATTCCCCCTTGTTCTGTCCCTCCAGGCTCTTGTCCCAAGTCCCTTTCCAGCTTCCTGGAGCCCCTTTAGGCCCTGGAACTCACCAGGAAGGTGGCTCTCTCAAACAGCAGCACTTCATCTGCCTCGATGATCTGAGCAAAGTTCCTCAGGTTCATCTCCAGCTGCTGCACGTTGGGGATCAGCTGGTACACGATGCTGGACCAGGCCTGGCAACACAGACACAACATGAGGGGTCACCAGCACTTCTTTGGTTCCCAATGTGCTCAGATTCCCTAAAAGCCCAGATGGTGTACAGTGCACATCCCAGATGTGGTTGAAGTTTGCACGACTCGGGCCAGAAATGTATTCCTGATACTTAGCAATGCTGCAATGGAGGGAGGAAGAGGACAAGGTGGGTGCATTGGTCAGTAAACTCAGGATTTATGAAGACACTGTCACCGCCCCATTACGAGCCCACGTCTCATCTGTGGAAACCAAACTGGCTGAACATGTCCGAAGCCTGGAAGAGAAGATTGAAGAGGGACACCAGAAGCTAAGAGAAGAAATTAAGGAAGGGATCTTCCATATCTTTCCAGGACAAACAAGAGTTTCTGCTATTAGGAGCCAGCATCCCCCAGCTAAGGAGAGAGAGCACACTCCGCGTGGCAATCTATGGTTTTACCTCCATGAGCATGGAGAAGATATGAGGAAGTGGGATGGGAAACCCACCTCTTCCTTAGCAGCCCGGGTACGTGAACTGAAAAGAGGGACAAGTGCCACAAGGAACTCTTCAAGGGTAAATGCTGCTCCAGTCTCTTGTGGGCAAGACTCCAGACGGTACAGGAATGATGATACGTCTGATCCTCTTGAAGGGACCTCCAGGTCATACTCACAAGAAGAGCACAATGAGTACCATGACCAGGACTAGGGGTGCCCTGCCTCTAGCCAGGTAGAGGAGAGGGACAATCGAGTCTATTGGACAGTGTGGATTCGGTGGCCTGGCACATCAGAGCCACAAAGATATAAGGCCTTAGTGGACACCGGCGCACAATGTACTTTAATACCGTCAAGACATGTAGGGGCAGAATCCATCTCCATTTCTGGGGTGACAGGGGGATCCCAACAGCTGACTGTATTGGAAGCTGAAGTGAGCCTGACTGGGAAGGAATGGCACAGACACCCCATCGTGACTGGCCCAGAGGCCCCGTGCATCCTTGGCATAGGTTACCTGAGGAGTGGGTATTTCAAAGACCCAAAAGGACTTCGTTGGGCTTTTGGCATAGCTACCGTGGAGACAGAGGAAATTAGACAGTTGAACACCTTGCCTGGTCTCTCAGAGGACCCCTCTGCTGTGGGACTGCTGAAGGTTGAAGAACAATTGGTACCGATAGCCACAGCAACAGTGCACCGTCGGCAATACCGCACCGACCGAGACTCTGTGACCCCTATACATAAGATGATCCGTGACCTGGAGACCCAGGGGGTGGTCAGCAAGACTTGCTCACCCTTTAATAGCCCTATATGGCCAGCGCGTAAGTCCAGCGGAGAGTGGAGGCTGACGGTGGATTACCGTGGACTCAATGAAGTCACACCACCCCTGAGTGCTGCTGTGCCGGACATGCTGGAGCTCCAGTACGAGCTGGAGTCCAAGGCAGCCAAGTGGTGCCACCACTGACATTGCAAATGCCTTTTTCTCCATTCCTTTGGCAGCGGAGTGCAGGCCACAATTTGCTTTCACTTGGAGAGGTGTGCAGTACACCTGGAATCGACTGCCTCAGGGGTGGAAACACAGTCCCAGCATTTGCCACGGACTGATCCAGACCGCACTGGAAAAGGGCGAGGCTCCAGAACATCTACAGTACATTGACGACATCATTGTATGGGGGAACACAGCGGGGGAAGTCTTCGAGAAAGGAGAGAAGATAATCCAGGTTCTCCTAAGAGCTGGTTTTGCCATTAAACGGAGTAAGGTCAAGGGACCTGCTCAGGAAATTCAGTTCCTAGGAGTGAAGTGGCAAGATGGACGCCGCCTAATTCCAACGGAGGTGATTAACAAAATAGCAGCCATGTCCCTGCCAACCAGCAAGAAGGAAACACAGGCTTTCCTAGGCGCTGTGGGCTTTTGGAGGATGCATATCCCCGAGTACAGCCAGATTGTAAGCCCTCTCTACCTTGTGACACGGAAGAAAAATGATTTCCAGTGGGGCCCTGAACAACAACAAGCCTTTGAACAAATTAAACAGGAGATTGCCCATGCGGTAGCCCTTGGGCCAGTAAGGACAGGACAGGACGTGAAGAACGTGCTCTACACTGCAGCCGGGGAGAATGGCCTTTCTTGGAGCCTCTGGCAGAAGGTGCCTGGGGAGACCCGAGGACGACCACTGGGATTCTGGAGTCGGGGATACAAAGGATCTGAAGCCAGCTATACACCAACTGAGAAAGAGATCCTGGCTGCTTATGAAGGAGTTCGAGCTGCCTCAGAAGTGATCGGCACCGAAGCGCAGCTCCTCCTGGCACCCCGACTACCAGTGCTGGGTTGGATGTTCAAGGCAAGAGTTCCTTCTACACATCATGCCACCGATGCCACATGGAGTAAGTGGATCGCTCTGATCACACAGCGAACCCGGATAGGGAATCCTAATCGCCCTGGGATCCTGGAAATTATCACCAATTGGCCCGAAGGTGAGAGTTTCGGACTATCCTCTGAAGAAGAAGAGGAGCAGGTGACACGGGCTGAGGAGGCCCCATCATATGACAAGCTACCAGCAGATGAAAGGCGATATGCGCTCTTCACGGATGGCTCCTGTCGCATTGTAGGGACAAACCGAAAATGGAAGGCAGCCGTATGGAGTCCCACACGGCGAGTTGCAGAAGCGACCGAAGGACAAGGTGGGTCAAGTCAGTTTGCGGAGCTTAAAGCCGTTCAGTTGGCTTTGGATATAGCTGAACGAGAGAAGTGGCCAAGACTCTATCTGTACACTGACTCATGGATGGTGGCCAATGCTCTGTGGGGATGGCTGGAGCGATGGAAAAAGGCCAACTGGCAGCGCCAAGGGAAACCCATCTGGGCGGCAGAGACGTGGCAGGACGTCGCTGGCCGGGTAGAGAAGCTGAGTGTGAAAGTCGGTCACGTAGATGCTCATGTATGCAAGAAACAGGCTAATGAGGAGCATCGTAACAACGAGCAGGCGGACCGAGCTGCCAGGATTAAAGTCTCTCAGGTAGATCTGGATTGGCAGCACAAAGGAGAATTATTTCTGGCTCGATGGGCCCATGACGCCTCCGGTCACCAGGGGAGAGATGCAACATACAGATGGGCTCGTGACCGAGGGGTGGACTTAACCAAGGACATTGTCTCACAGGTCATCCATGACTGTGAGACATGTGCTGCCATCAAGCAGGCCAAGCGGGTGAAGCCTCTATGGTATGGTGGACGGTGGTCGAAGTACAGGTATGGGGAAGCCTGGCAAGTTGACTACATCACGCTCCCCAGAACCCGCCAAGGCAAGTGCTTCGTACTGACCATGGTAGAAGGAAGTACTGGATGGTTGGAGACATATCCCGTGCCTCATGCCACTGCCCGGAATACCATCCTGGGCCTCGAAAAACAAGTCCTGTGGCGACACGGCACCCCGGAGAGAATTGAGTCTGATAATGGGACCCATTTCAAGAATGGCCTCGTAGACACCTGGGCCAAAGAGCACGGCATTGAGTGGGTGTATCATATCCCCTACCATGCACCAGCAGCTGGAAAAGTTGAGCGGTGCAACGGACTGCTGAAAACCACCCTGAAGGCACTGTGTGGGAAGACTTTCAAACACTGGGAGCTGCATTTAGCAAAGGCCACCTGGTTGGTCAACACCCGAGGCTCCATCAATCGAGCTGGCCCTGCCCAATCAGAACCTTTGCATACTGTAGATGGAGATAAAGTCCCCGTGGTGCATATGAGAGGAATGTTAGGGAAGACTGTTTGGATTAGTTCCACCTCAAGCAAAGGCAAACCCATCCAAGGGATTGTTTTTGCTCAAGGACCTGGTTTCACCTGGTGGGTAATGCAAAAAGATGGGGAGACACGTTGTGTACCACAAGGGGACCTAATTTTGAGTGAGAATGGTCTGTAATGTTTCATTGTATATATACATAGATGTATATAGCGTTAAAGGGATATAGTTTTTAAAGGGGGTTAATTTGGGCATGACATGGATGGCATAGAATAAGGGGTGGATAATGTCCTAGTTAGAACAGCTGGGACCGATTCATCATTGGATGGGTGTAACCCAAAACTGTGTATTCTATAGCCTTCTATGCCATTGCCCAGAAACTGTTGTCAATAGACTATTTGCACCCTCTGCCCAGAGCAGCCTGACTCCTCAGGTTATAAACTAGGTGTTAAGAGGCCTGTGAGACAGAAGGATGCTCCTGTCCTCACACCCTTTGTGGAACTCCTCGCCCTGAGGGAGGTACTGAGCATTCCTGCCTGAACTGGAGAATATATAATCTTGGAATCTTGGAACATTTTCAACCAGTCGTGGGATCCAGAGGAAGACTGCAGACTACCACTCTCAACCAGACTGCAGACCACCACTCTCAACTGGACTGCAACAGCACCCTCACCAACAAGTTTTCCCCCTCTTCCTTTACTTTGGACTCAGGGGGCCCAAAGAACACCACTCTATTCATGCCCCAGGGTGCTGGGTTATACATTTGGGTTTTGTGGGTTAAAACCAATTGTTCGTCTGTATGATCGTACTTATTGTATTATTTTATTAAATTGTTATTCTCTCTTTTGAGTTGAGTTCATTTCCCCTGCTGGTTTACCTTTAAACCAGCACACTCAGAAAGGGATTATTTGCAGTTCTGGGTATTGACAGCTTGGGCAACACTGAGAAGCTTCTCTCACCTCAGGTACCTACAGTGGACACCACCAGAGGAAGCCCAAACCTGAGGAGACTCTTCACCGGGTCAAGTTCTTCTCCACATCACTCAGAGAAACCATAATGCCACTAAACAGGCTTAAACCATCCTCATTTGAAGTTGGCAATGCTTCTGTCTCTTCCTCCCAGATAAATCTGCTCAGGTTTCCAGAGATATTTCAATCTGGAGGAAGGTCAGATCACAGATGGACACTTGGCAGCCCATCTCTGATCCAGAGAGCTCCACCCTATCCCAAGGAGCCAGGAACAAGCCCAGGAGGGGCTGGGGATGCTGTGATCAACATCTGTGCTCTTCCAGACTGGGATCCTCCCAGCTCAGCTTCCCCTCTCTGCCCCTCTGCTGACCCAGGTGTGTGGCACTGCCTGACCAGACCCTTCCCCAGGAGCCAGCTGGATATTTGGGATGCCTGTTTGCCAAGTACCTGACTTCTTTTAATTAATTAATTAAGGCCAGGATGCCCTGACACCATTTACACCCTCCAGAAGGAGCTGTTCCAGAACTGACCAGAGCCAGTCTCTGCCACAACACCTCTCCCTCTTCTCATGCTCCTGTCTCCAAGTGGGAAGAGGGAGCTGTACAAACCTTGTAAAGGGTTTCATCCCAGATGGAGGTTCTAAAACAAACACATTCCAAGGGCCGGGAGAGGCGTTTCAAGTCCTCTTCACGCTCCTTAAAAATCTGGGAGATGAAAAGACAGAGCAGTAGTTGAGTGAAAGCAGTTCTGCCTGTGCTGTGGTTGCTGTATGGAATTACAGGATGAGTTTCAAATGGATCTCTAGAGAAGGGACAAGAGCAGAGCAGTTGTCCAGGACAGGCTGGGAGAAACCAGCTCCCTGTACTCCCAGTGAGCAGCAGGGCCACACAGACCATGGATGTCTTGCTAGAGAATCCCAGACTGGTTTGGGTTGGAAGGGACCTTAAAGATCATCTCATTCCACCCCTTGCCATGGGCAGGGACACCTCCCACTAGCCCAGGTTGCTCCAAGTCCTGTCCAACCTGGCCTTGGGCACTTCCAGGGATGGGGAATCCAAAACTTCCCTGGGACCCAAAGCTGAAATAACTGCAGGTGTTGGGAAGTGGGGGTGAAGGCAGACAGGCTGGAGTGTCCCTGAGGACTTAAACTGCGACAAATCCCTGGCAAAAAGCTCCATCACTGAGAGCAGGATGGGAGGGAAGCAACTGAGGGCCCTCAGAATGAGCTCACACAGACTTCTCTGCCCACACCACACTCTGCCCTCAGAAGTTATGGGCACCAAAAAAGGGCAGCAGAGGAACAGCAAAGCCCAGCCAGGCTCCTCTGGAACTGCTGGAACAGCAGCAGGACAGTCAGTAAGGGGAACACACAACCACCACCCTCACTTGAGTCTTGTGGGAACATGACAGAGTATGAACCAAGCCCCATGAAATGCTGGGCCAACACCATGTGGGTCCTGGACAGCACAGGCTTCACTAAGACCTACAAAAGCAGTGATTTAGCCCAGTATTTGCATGGGCTACTGAGCAGCAGATACCCTAAAACAGCTCTTGATGGGTGGAAAGGCCCTTCTCCTGCCCACCCCTCCCTTCAGGGCCTCTCCTGAGTCTGTACCACTGGTTAAACCAGTATTTGTGCACTTGCCCCTCCACAAATCTGGACAGGACTGCAGCAAAGAAGATTTTAGACTCATCCTTCCACCTGGAGGGAAACGAGGAAAAGCACCTTGAGCCCTCTGAAAGAGCTCTGAGTTGTTTCTGCCCTGAGCTGGAGGGCAGAACTAGAACTGGAAGAGGAAGATCTCTGCTCTCAGATAGGACAAGGGATCCAAAGCCCACCTGCCACGTGGAAAGGTGTGTCTGTGCAGGGAGGTCAGCTCTGGTTTCAGCCACAGGACCTGCACATTCCCTCTGCAAATGCCCAGGCAAAGCTCAGTGGGAACTGGTAAAAAGTTTAATAAAAGCTCTTATTTCTGACAAAATCCAGCAGCCTGAAGTGGTCTCCAAACTCCCTGCAATGCAGGGAGTGGCCAAGCAGCTGGGGATGTGCTCAGACCCACACAGCTCAACTCCCTTGGGCTATCAGGAGCTGTCCAAGCACAAAAAGGAAGGTTTGTAGGAATTCAACATCTTCCCACCTCCCTGTGACTTTTCAAAAGCTCCAAACAGAACAGAAGTCACCCAACACCTCTGAAAGGTTGATCCTCAGCCTTTGTTTAGGTGCTTGGGTGCTTCAGAGGATCTCTGGGCACGCAGAGCAGGGTCAACCAACCGAAACCACCTCCTGGTTAAGTGGGAAAGTTCCACCTCTTATTTTTTGGTGATGCTTTAGAACAGAGCCTGTGCTGGACTGAAAGCAGCAGCTGAGCTGAAGACAACTCTCACTGTCACCACCACCATCCAAATGGCGGGCAAGGAGTTTAAGGAGCTGGATTTCCTTCAGTTCAACCTCCCTTCTGGAGCCAAGGTGTGCTGGAAGCTCTGGAATCAGCACTATAAAGGGAAAGGCTGTGAGTAGTTGTCACTAAAAATCACTGCTTCTGTTCTCCAGGACATTACAGGATGACACACTTCAAAAAAGGCAGAGAAAGCTTAGAGGGCTTTGCCAAGCCTGAACATCTGAGAAACCCTTCGAGGAACAGCCCTGGCAGGGCTGTGTTTGATGTGTGACACCGCCCTGCACCCGCACAGGCAGGAGATGCTCCGTGGGGAAGCATTTCCATGGCAACTCCCGGCTTCTCACCAAATCCCGCTGGTCCTCCTGCACCAAGTCCATCTTGTGCACCAGGCAGAAGATCTTGGCATCAGGGGAGTTCTGCAGAATGGCCTCCAGGCAGGACTGGTAGTAGTGCATGTCCTTCTCCAGCTCCCGGCTCTCCACATCGAACACGTAGATGAGAACCTCCACGTTGCGGAAGATGTTGTCCCTCTGGCTGGTGAAGTAGTTCTCCATGAAGGTGTCCTGCCTGAGGACCAGAGCAGGAAAGCAAGGAGACTCCTGTTAGAGCAACCAGGACTTGCTTGGAAAGGTCAAGAAGGTGCTAAGTGTAAAATATCAGGGCTTTAATTTGGAGCTGCAGATCCCACCACAGGAGCCCGTGTTAGAGCTCTATTCCCCACGACAAGGCTCCCTGAGCATTCCCAAGCAAAGCTGGAAGCTCCTGAAGAGCATCAGCCCACCAGTTCCACCTTAAGCTGAAGCTTCCCTCGTGCTCTGTGTCCTGCTTCTGGATCCACACTGGCTTCTAAAGAGCTGCTTATAAAACACCCACAGCAGCAGAAGCAGCTAAAATATGACCAAAGGAGCAGTTTAGCCTGTTATCCCAGGATTTCAGTCTCCCCTGGCTTTGGCTGAATGTGGTTTAGATGATGCATGAGGCCATGGAGCTGAGGAAGCTGAGCAAAGCTCAGCTGAGGCTCTGTCAGAGGGACAGCATTCCTCAAAAAGCTGCTTCCAGGAGCCACAGGATCACTGGCAACCTTCAGCATCACCTCTCTGCACACATCCCACTTGGAACAAGCTGGTGGTGGGCAATTCAAAGAGCAGTAGCACCTCCCAGCACCTCAGGAGAAAGCCCAGATGGAGGATTCTCTTGGCACACAAGCACCACACTCCCCCCTTGGAGCAGAATCTGCTCTGTTCCATCCTCACCTGATTCCCCACATCCACCCCCAAAGGACTCAAAAGGAAAGGAATAAACAGTACCTACCCTCCACAGTCCCACAGGTTTAACACCAGGTTTCCCAGGAATCTGACATGGGAATGCTCCACATCAACTGCAGAGAGACAACAGGAGTTTACTGACTGTAGCACACACCTGGATCAGAGCTGCCTCCTCCAAAAATCAGCAGAGAATCATGGAATGGTTTGGGTTGGAAGGGACATTAAAGCCCATCTCATCCCACCTGCCATGGGCAGGGACACCAGGTTGCTCCAAGCTCAGTCCAGCCTGGCCTTGGACATTTCCAAGGATGGGCCATTTCTCCCAACACAGCCCCCAGTTGGTAAAATCCCACCTAAACACCACTGCTGGACATTCCCCACAGGAATTCCAGCCTCCCTGCCCAGGACACTGCTCTCCTGAGAAGTGCAGCAGGTGCCACCCCCCCTTCAACCACATGCTCCCTGATCTCTGGGATATTTTAGGAATGATTTTAGTTGCACCAAACCCTGCAAGGCCTGAATCCAGCCTTGACAAAATAAAGCAATAACACAGAGAATGGAAACTTCAGGAACAGGCCAAATTTACACCAATCCCTGACATTAAGCCCTCACATTAAATCCTTCCCCATGAGGAGTGTTAGATACGGACAATTCACCCTCCTCTTTCAGAGGAATCACTTCTTGCTTTTTCCCATCAATGGCTGCTTTGGAAGGGCAAAAAGAAAAGGCACAAGGCACTAATTAAGCCCAGTGTTTAATCCTGCCAAAACCACGGGTGGATTGCAGGATCCCTGTGCTGGAGATCAGCTGCATACAACAGGAATGCTCCACCAACACAGAGGAGCACGAGGAGGCTCTGACACTCCTCCACTAACAGGTGTAGCTGCAGCACAAGCTGCTTCCTTATCCCAAAATAAAAAAAGTTCAGGATGAAGGTCAAACAATAAAGCAGCAAAACTGAAGCCAGTGCTGCCTCCCCCTTCCCTCTCCAGCTTCCTGCCTGTCCCTGGCTGGCCTCGGAGGCAGCTCCCTGTGAGGTGTGGCAGCTGGGAGGACCAGCAGGGACACACCTAATCCAGAGGAGAGGCAGGAATTGCTGCAGGGAATGGTCCCACCCCGTTAATGAGGGGGGTTTGAGCCCTGAGAGCTGGGAGTGCAGACAAGAGCAGCCTTACTGGTGGCCCCCAGGCGCCGTGTGTCCCGGGCGATGTAGTTGGCAAAGATAATAGATCTCATGCTGGTCTTCCCAGACCCACTTTTACCCATCAGCAGCACCTGGGAAGGAAAAAGAAACCAGGAAGAATTAGGTATGAAACAGCACTAAGGCCTTCACAGTCCCCTCTGGTTGCCATCTCACTGCCAAAGCCACAGAAACACAGCACTGACATGTTTCAGCTGGGACTGCACAGGAGAGAGAGGCAAAGAGGAGCACCAGGCCTGGGAAGCAGGACATGGACATCCTTAACTCCTCGCTATCCATGGGCACTGGACTGTGGTCAGACTGAACACCTTCTCCCAACACAGCACTTGGGAAGAGCAGGAGCTGCCTCCCCCTTTCCCAGCCCCTCACCGCAGGAAGAGCCCTGATGGTTCTCATGGCAGCAAAGGACTTTGCCAGGACAGAGGAACAGCTTTGTCTCAAGCTGTTAAGACCAGACTGGAAACAATCCCTCCCCCCCTTTCCTAATCACAGGATGGTTTGGGTTGGAAGAGACATTAAAGATCATCTGATCCTGTTGTTCTCCTTCTCGTAATGTGACTTGTTTTCTCTTCCCCAACAGAAGTGACGATTCAAGTTTCAGGGGTTAGAAGACCAGAAAAAAGAAGTTAAAAGCAGGTGGGACAGCCCAGGTCAAGTGCACCAGTGTATGGGTGACACTTGACTCCAGAGTGTTGTATGCAGGACATCAGGCCAAAGGAGAGGTACCAAAAAGTAGGGGATGCTGGGGCTTGGGGAGTGGGGATGAGGGGAGACAGTCCCACAAGAGACAGTCCCACAAGGCAAGACTTGACATCGTGATCTAAAAATAAAAATAAAAAAGAAACCCAAAGCAACCGTGGCAGCCAACACAAAACCCAGCTGTTAAACAAGTTCCAGCCACAGAACCGAGTCCAGCCTTTGGCAACAGCTCTGGAAGTCTCCCGTCAAGGAGAGGTTTAAGGAGAGCAGGGGCAATTTAAGGAGTGCAGGACACTGGCCAGGAGGGCACTTGCTCCACTCTCACCCTCTCTCTGTGACAGTACAGCAGGAACTGCCACAATTTCACAGGAAAACCTCAGCAGAATCCCACCTCTCCGCTCACTCCAGTCATTCCTGCAGTTCCTCAGAGGCTGAGAGAGCCCTGGCCAGAGGAACCTGAGCACAGGCCTCCAGGATTTGGGAACGAGGCCTGTCCCTGAGTGAGGGAGGCTGGTCAGGCCAGCCCAGAAGGCTGTGCTGTCCCCTGAGCTCATCCCAGGGAACCAGCACAGCTCTTATTTCACAGCACCAGCACAAACGCCACAGCCAGGAAATCATCCAGATCACAGGGAACCCCAAATCCCAGGTTTTGGGCTGCAGAGGCCTTGCAAAGGGATCAACCAGCAGGCAGGAAACCCAGTCCTAGCACACCATGGAAAACCAGCCACATATTCCCCACACAGCCCCTTTAACAGCTTTGGATGTGCTTCTGCTGGAAGACACCCACCCCTTCAATTCCCAGAGGAACTTCTTCCCCAAGGGTTAAATTCCATCCTCCCAGGAGCCCTGAGTGAATTATGGGCTCCACACTGAGCTCCTGGGACACCTTGGAAGGCTCTCCCCTTGGAAGGGCCAAGGAAGTGGTTTGGAGCAGATCCTCTTCCCCCACGCTGAGCACGGGGGTTTGCAGAGGGTTTTGCAACACATCCCAGAAACAGTTGCCCACAGTGCTGGTGGATGGCCCTGCAATCAGCCAGGAATAAACCCAATTTTAATGTCTGGCTCTTGATGCAGCCGCTGATTCCAAGAGCCTTCCAAGGCACCTGAGCCCCAGAGGGACGGACACAACAAACAACGACATTCCCAAAAGGAGATGGGGAAGGAAAACCCAACAGCACAGGATCCCCCTCCCAGTCCTTACCTTCTTCTTCATGGCTGTGCTGGGCATCACACACCTGCCGAGAGAAGCCCACCTTGGATCGCTGCTTTCCTTGGATCACCGCTCGCCCATCCCGATCCCACCCCCCGCAGCGCGGGGGAAGCGCTGGCACAGCCCCCCCTCCCCTGCCATGGGGAACTCCCGCTGCTGGGAAACCTCCGGCACCGCCGGAATCCCACGGCCCGGGCGGGAGGGGCCGGGACCCCCCGCAGCCTCTTCCCCGGGATGAGCCGGGATGTCCCTGCCCTAGGGATGTTCCGCAGCCCCTTCCCCCGGGATGGCCCACAGCTCCCTCCCTAGGATCTTCCGCAGCCTCTTCCCCGGGGATGCCCCTTCCCTCGGGACGTTCCACAGCCCATTCCCCTGGGATGGCCCCAGAGCCCCTTCCCCAGGATGTTCCACAGCCCATTCCCCTGGGATGGCC